CATGGAAGGGTTTTCTTCCCTAAGCCTTGGGGCCCCTTTAGGAAGACCGAATCCGAGGGGTAAGGGTTTCCAGAGAAGTCCTAGAGGTATTATTTATCCTTGCTGGTCCCTCACAGTTTACTACCGTTTTGGACTAAAAACTGTCAACAGGTAGGGTCTTGATTCCCCCCGGCCTTTCTGGAGTGCTAGGGGGAATGGGAGTTTAGAATCTACAGTCTGAGGAAGGGTTGGAGGCGGGCAGTGTTTGAAGGCAGTGGTGGAGCGGTGGGGATGGCAGCAGCTGCAGGGGGCGGCAGGAGGCCTGCAGATTTTTCACTGGTGGAATTCAAATGACCATTTAATGTTGGCGGCACTCTATTTGTTAGGTGAGATATTCGAGCTTTTTTATTCACTAAAGGATCAATGAACTCTGACTCTAAAAGCCGTTTCTGGAGGGAGGAACAGAAAAAAAATATGAGCCAGTTTGCACTAAAATTCAATATATGCATCCCTGGTTACCATAAGAATAACTGAGTTATTTTATTCATACTTAAGTTTATCACTGGTGTTGAGTTAAACCTTTCTCCAAACTTAAGCAAGAACAAACAAGCCACAAAAACACAAGTGACATAAATTCTTGTCTAATGTAAAGAAGTAGAATCTGGCAAAGACGGGTGGGCAAAAGCAGATTTACCGTGCCACGGTGACATTCTTGAATTAATAAAGCTATTGTTAATAATCATAATGTGCATGTCTTTTTCCATACGAACAAGATTAAACCTACTTTTGCTCACCCCTGTATATGTTTGTTGGAGTTCTTATCTTTTTGATCATACAGCCCCACCTGAAGTTCTTTCAGAGACTACTGCAATTTATGTGAATTATACCACTCAGGAGAGTACTAAACAGAAGTAGCCTCCTGACCTATTTATAATAAATGAGAGGAGGACGCAGTTTGTACCATTTCACTCTGTCAGAGCAGGGTTAGTAAGAGACAATAAGCCTACACTTACTCTAATGTAAGATGCTCCAGTTATGAATATTTTGACTGTCATTGCTTATTTTACCTGTCTGAAATGGGAACAGCCAGCACTTTCAGAGTAATTTCTCTAAGTATCTCTGAAATACTATTCATTGTTAAAATATTACTCATTTTTTCCCTTCACTGGATTAGAAAATAAGTCTTAATAACTGGTCCATAAAAAGATATGGAATTACTGTTTCAAACACTTAAAAAATCATGCTAAGATTAGCCCAATCCAGCAACAATATTAATATTTAAATTAGAAAGAAAATTCAGATAGTTGAAAAGTATAAAGCATACATCCAATGAAATACTGTGGCTTAAACTGCAGCTTGAGATAAAATAAGTTAATCATCCCATTAATTCAATCTGTTTTCAATTTAGCACCATTGATATGGCACCCAGTATATAATCAGGTCAGAAATATAAGCAGCTTCATGGTAAGTGGCATTATAATTGAGGCTTCTATAGATAATGTACGTGCAAGGTCAGAAATGCTTTTATTTTGTTCCTCCTCTGTTCCTCACAACAGGCTGCTAATATTTTCTGACACAAATAGCCTTTACCCAGAGCATGCTTGCGGCTTGTCACACATCTGTCCTGCCTCTCTAATCCTTGGGAGGGGAGTCCAGAGAGAGGAGCATTCTGTCAGCAGTACTGGGATAGAGAGGTCTGTCCCACTGTCAGTCCCAAAGACCTTTGAAACGGAGAGAGTTCAAGGCTGGCCGGGCCCTCTGAGAACCAAGCAGGCTCGAACTCTAATACTACCCAGGATCTCCGTACCTTTTTCCAAGACAAACTGAATTGCTTAGGGGAAACTAAGCCAGATTAAATTTCTAATTGCAGCGTTCTGATTGGGATCTAATTGAAATTATTTTCAGAAAATAAAAATGGCAAGAATTTTTTGCTTGCTTGTTTTAAACATATTTTTTCCCCAAGAATATTTTTCTGGAACATGTTTCAGATAAAATTAAATATATTCAATTTTCTATATAATATGAGACTATATATAGTATTGGATAGGTCTTCAAGTTAGTGACCAAATGAAAAAGTAGATAATCTTACAAAATGTAAGCTTTAAAAATGGAAAAGCAAGGTAAACATTAAGTACTTTGACAAGAACTGTAGTACAGTGGAGAACAGTTCTGGGCTGAGAGTTGGTACCTGAATTCCAGACCGAGTTCTGCCATAAACCAGCAATGTGAGTTTGGGCAGACAAGCAACGCATCTTCTGTGGCCTCACTTCCCTCACATATAAATACAGGAACTGAACTAGATGCCCCAGGTCCGTTTAGCACTATGACTGTAATTCTATGAAATACCTGAGGAGAAGAAGCAATGTCTCTACTGGAACATACAGGAGATTCTGAACGCCTGGTGCTGGCAGCATTCTGAGATGCATTTAGTTTTCTGTAAAGAACACACATGCTCCAGTTATGGAGAGAATTTTCATGATAGAAAGCTTACCCTTGCTTCTCTTTTCCCAGCTCAACACTAAAATAACAATGACTAAAATAATCTTATATGCATCATTTTTAAAGGAAAAGAAACTTACTTTGAGAGCACAAACTCTAATGAACGTCTGTCAATTTCATTGTATCCAGGCCAATCTCTCTGAAGCTCTTTGAAAACATAATCCTTTAAGGTATACGAGAGGTCCTTAGGGTTCAGATTAGCTACCTGATACATGGCGTGAAAATAGAACAGAACATTAGATTCTTTTGCTCTTTACTAACCTAAAACAGGTACCCTTTTGGAGTTATATTGAAAATAACTGCATCAATTGGCCACAGAGGGACTGCTCATTTTGCATATACATGCTCTCAATAAATGCTGTTCAACTTTATTTGGGGAATTAAAACTTTATGTAAATAGCTAAAAGAATTTCCCCCCTAAATGGCCACTGCACTTGTCATATTTCTAATCAAATAGTAAGCTGACATTAGGCAAAAAGTTGAAGATTTTTTAAATAAATTTCTTCTAGTCAAAGAAATCCAAAAGCAGTTATATTATCAACATCATTGTTATCATTATTATCTACTTTGATTCCTTAGTCACTTGTATTAAGTAGAAACCAAGTAGTGCCCAAATGTTAGGTTACAAACTTTCCCTTCAGTAATCAACAGAAATTATCTCCATAAATAGTATCAATTCTGACAACTTTGTCATTTTCTTGGATAATAAGAACCACTTATTCAAAGTCCTTGAAATTCCAAAAACCAGTAAATGGAAACAAATCAAAATAACCCTCAAATGACATACAATTACTGTTATTAGTCTGCCAGTTTATCCCCAAGTGTAATCTTTTCTTATCCCCTAACTACAATTCCTAGAGTGTCCAGTCCTAGATTCTATTAACAACATAAATGTACTGATCGAGGAATCAAACCGAGAGTCATTTTTAAGGCTGGCAGAAAAGGATTCCTCTTGTCAGTTCCTACTGGAAAGGTCTTCTTTTTAATAACTTGACTTCTGTGTAAGTACTATTAAATATAGTAGGATAGTATATGCTTTTCTCACAGCTCTGCAGAATACTAATATGTTAATACTGTCATAAAGTAGATAATGGTAGGCTTATCTTAAAATTTAAATTTGCAAATAAACTGACATGAGATACCAGACTTCTCAAAGTGAAATAATATAACAATCCTTAGAGTTCCTATTATCCGGGGTACTACACATGCTAATAACACCCCAAAACTAGAGATTATGCTTTTACTCTCTCATAAGAGTTAGTATCATGCCTTTAATGTAAGAGAGAATAGATAAAAATAGACTTAAAAGTGTCATTCTTTGAATAATAGATGAAAACCTGCAGGGTTTTTTTTTTTTTTTAATGATGAAATTTAAGAACAACTTTGAAATGTTTCTGCTTTAGAAAAAAGATCACAGATGGACATCATCTATGGTGGATTTGAATGCTAATCAACATTTATGACCCAAAGTCAGTATAAAAAATATAGGAAGTTCCAAACCATTGACTTTAACGAAATTTATGACCTACTTTTATAATTAAGCTTGTGATTGTAAGATAACTGATTAGAACTAATACTTTATACACTCATATCCTTTAATGAAGACAAGTGATCTCAACCTACGCAATAGTAGAATACTGGGCAAGACACTATGTAGTAGGTAAAAATATTCTAGTTTATACCAACTAAAGACTGGTAATACATTGTACAACTTTGCCTATATAAACCAATAAAAATTATGACAATCATTTAGGTGATTCAATATTAAAAACAGACAATGAGAGAGTCTTGCTTACTTTTTTAAAATGAAATTTCAAGGTAAAGTTTATTTAACCCAAATGAAGACAGTGACTCAAAACTTTAATTGTTTAAGAATTCAGAAGCCTCTAACTTATAAATCCTAGTATAAATGCCCACATTTCAATTAGTTTTTAATTAAGTGTTTAAACAAATGCTTTAATGTAATATTCAGGAGCTATATTTCATATAGCAAAAATGGTCCTGAAATTTCTCTACCTCAATAATAATAATGGTTACAGCAAAAACAAGCCTTCTTAAATGAACTTCTCATTAAGAAGGTAGGTGGAAGGAACTCTCTCCTGCTGTTCTTACCTGTTGCAGAATTGCTCCGAGAGAGTTCTTGTCTTTTTGATTGACACCATCTTTCTGCAGTCGAGCCAGCAGCTCAGGTTTCTTGTAGGCCTTCAGTGCCAGTAAGTGAATCACCCTGTCCCTATATGGCCGCTGAGAAACACTGCTGCTGCCGTGTGTCTTTCGAATTGTATTTGCAGGGTTCATGGGGGTTGACCGTTTCCTCTCAGGCACTGCATCTGATAGAGCTTGAGGTGCTTTCCGAATCTGCACTCTTTTCCCTACAGTCCAGTGGAAACGATATTTGTTACACATTTGTGGGTAATAATATGAATTGGGAATTTTTTGATGAAATCATTTATTGAAATAAATATTTATTATAAAAGTATTTTGGCCACTTAGCTATGCATTGATAATAATTAGTGACACACATCATAGCAACAAAGTGGAAATTTTAAGGATGTAGGTATTTGATGTTAAATGAAAATTTACAGAACTTAAACATCTTACATATTATTTCTAAAATTACACCTAGAAAAAAATTAGAATGAAACTGTATAAATCCTCATTTTATAATGTCTGAGGTGTAATCTTATAACTCATTTAATATACTCTAAGCCCCTAACTGCTCACTCTGGTTAAAAAGCGGAAACAACTGGTAGTGACATACAATGAGGGGCAACTGCTTTAGGTACAAGTTTAGCAACTAGAAATAATGGCTAAGTAAAAGCAGTCATTTAAGTGCTATGGTCTAGGGTGAAAATGACTGGCTTAGTGGGGCAGGAGATTTACTGAATAATTCTGTCCATGCTAGGCTCCGGAGGCCTGGCCAGAGGGGCTGTTTGAAACCATCCTATCGAAGGTAAAGGGGAAAGGATGAATATGTCACTAGCTCTTATTGTTCTTTACTATCTGGACTTAACTAATTTTAAATATCAGATCAAAACACTGCACAACTAAGGAATTCAACATTAAAGGGATATTGTCCCACAATAAGAAAAGCTGTTAAATTAGGGTGCAATTAGAGTTTTGGAATTAGATTTAGATCTGGTTTCTGAATTTTTCTTAATTTAGAGACAGCTAGATCAATGTCATATGGGCTGGGAACAAACTGATGATCCTGCATCAATTATGTGTTGGGGAGGGCACTGCTTTCAATGGGATAAGCTCAAATGGTAAAGTGCTCTCTTAGCATCTGGAAGGTTCTATGATAAATACCCAAGTTTTCCTACTTGTACTTCTTTGTGGAAAAGTTTCATGGACAAATGCCTAATGTCCACTGTTGCTTCATGTTAGGCTGCAAGCTCCATGTAGGCAGGGCTGTGGCTGCTTTGTCCCTCAGTAGACCTTGATTCAGAATGTAATGGCTAGCAAAGTGAAAGACTAGCAAAGTGTCAAAGTGAAGACAGCAAGAGAACAATTAGATAGTAGAGAAGCCAGAATCAAAACGGTGTATATTCCCACACTGCCAGACTGCCAGAATGGGAAGACACTGAACTTTCTAAAACGGCAAATGCAAACCTCCCAATCCACTATTTCTCAGTTGCAATAGTGCTAACAAACGGTACTATTCTCTGAATTTTTAATAGGGATTTGGTGGGGGAAGAGAAAGAATTGGGGTCACAAAAGTTTCAGAAATGCTATAATTTCAAACTCCCTTCCTCTTGAAATCTTTTTAACTTACTCTGACCCAAACAAGATTACTGTGGGGTACCCCAACTCCCTAGGGAGGGAGGTGGGCAGAGAATGTTTAGTTAAGCTCAACACACCATGACTAGTCATTTAGAATTAATTCAAGCCAGCAAGACAGGCAAATAAAACTGAAAACACAAAGTGACAGTACTACCTCTGTGTTCTGGGCTGTCTTACTCTTCTGTACGTCTGACCCACCTCTGATCCTAAGTCTCAGGAGAACCCCAAGGTCTCCTGAGTTTACCCGCACCCCTCCCTGAAGCAGACATACAGCAGACAAATGAGGCTCACTCTGCCCTTAAGAGGGGTGTAAGTATGATGTTTGAATAGAAAATAGAATCTGGACAGGGATATGACAGTGTTATAGTCACCTAGGGCCTAATGCTAGACTGTCATCCATCAGTCAATGAATCTCTTCATTTTTCTTTTAAATTGCCAGTCATGAGGTAACCCATTTCTTTCAAATGCTGAAAGAACAATCCAGCCACACTGGGCCAATTAGTTTTATGCAAAAATTACTTGCTCACTGACTCCCGATCAATCTGTGCCTATTCAACTAGGAAGGAGTCCTCTGGTTAAGGTTAGAGAGCCTACAGATTAGTGCTGTAAGTGGTTAAAGAGTTCAGATGCTAAAGAAAATGAAAAAAGTAAAGCTGGAAAATGTCAGGGTCAAAGTGGACGGAAAAAAGGCTTTATTTTTATTTCTTACATTTGCCTCAGAAAAGCCCTTTTAATAAAGCCTATGGGAGAACCTAATTCTCTTCCCAGACCCAACCGCTAATCAATTCCCTGGGCTCCTTATATAAACAGCAGCAGTAGGCCTGATAGGGTTGGGTAATCTAGGACTATATCTAAACTGTTGTTTCATAACAAGGGGTCCACTTCTAGCTTCTCCGTTTAATGAGATGGTAGAAGTATCTATCACTTCATCTAATGGCTGAGTAAATTGGAAGGTAAATCTTAAAACAGTACATCAGAAAGAGAGCAGGGATTGTAGCCATCTCCTGCAGTTGTTTTTCTGTTCTGTGGAACCTGACCAGAAGCCCTGACAACACTGACCCAAGGCTTTAAAAACACTGGCAGGACTTTGATGATGGTGTGACTGTCATGGTTAAATACATACTCCACTGCAGTGGAATCCATCTCCACCATGTGGCATTTATGACCACTTTTCAAAAGGTTTACTATCAAAATATATTTACACAACAGATACAAATTGTTAGAACTACAAAGAATCTAGATGTGTGTAGTTCAAACCCCCTTAATTAATATTTGAGAAAATTAAGGTCCACAGAGGTGAAATGATTTGTCTGAGGTCACTCAAACATGTACTAACTCATAAGAAATGAGAAGGATGGGGGCAGAAGTTAGGAAAATTGGGAACAGAATCTGAGAAATTAGATTGGTTGGGTTGTTTTCTATACCTAAGTAAATATTAGCATTATAAACATTTGTAATTCAGTACAAGTCTAGAATTTTGGTAGGAGTCACTGAGCAGACTTAAGATACTAGTAAACCTGAAGCAATGGTCGTGATTTTTTTCCTTTTTAACAAACAGAAGGATTATAACACAACAGTGCTTACCACTGATATAAATGCTCTGACTCAAAGTAGAAATTCGACTGAAGAAATAATGTTTTCTACTGCACTTCTCCAGGCAAAATAGGTTTGGGTTCTTTTCAGCCCACAAGAGGCTTTCAAAGCTCATATTCTTGGGTGACTAAGCCAGGTGACCCCTAAGGAATACATTCCCTTAAACTTGGCCTGTGCCCTAATTCAACCGACAGAGGCTTGGCCGGGCATTATGCCACCATAATCCTACAGTGGGACCAGCATTACTCCCATTTATCCTCTAGCCTGGCTGACACTGTTGAAAGAAACCTTATTCTTCAGGTACCTCTAAGTTGGCATAAGTGAACTTTTGGTATCATTTTATATGATATATTCAATTATGAATTAAAGAGGTATCTCCTGTTGTCTTAAGAAAATAACATAACTTGTTAGTGAGGCCAAATTCATATCATTTGCTACTTGCTGATACCAACAACTTGATATATAAAAGGAGAGGTGGAGAGGTAATCATAATCTACTTCATAGGGTGGTTGTGGTATGTAAAATGCTAACCAGTGCCTTAAACATCACAAGTACTCAATAAGGGCTGGGTAATATTAATATTGAAGGGTGACTGATTGCATTTTAGAGAGCTGAATGAGTCAGGTAGTTTTGAGATACTGAAAAATGCAGGAAGATATACATTGAGATACCTAGAAGGAAAGACACATGGTAAAGGACTGATGATGGAAAAAGTTAGAAGGAAAAAAATCAAAACATGGGATAACAAAGAACAGTAAAAAAATATAAAAAACAACAATAACTGAAAAGCCCATCTGGATACTAGTCTTTTGCTCTCCTCAGTTCAGAGTTGATGAGACTTTTCTTAAGAGTAGCTTGTCCAGTTTTGAACTTTGAGGTGAAGAATTGAAGGTAGTACAGAGGAGAGCAATAAAAATAATTAAAGGGTTGGGATGCAGGCCATATTAAGAAAGTTAAAAGGAGCTGGGGTTATTTGACCTAGAGAATAAAAGGCTGAGGAGGTTAATGACAAGATTCAAGACCAGAGAAAAATACTGTGCTGATGGTGAGTGGCTGGGGCACTGAGGACACAGCACAGAGGAGAAGACTCAGCACTCGGGCTGGCAGAGTCCATTGCAGGGCTTCCATGTGGGAACATGTGTGCAAAGAGGGGGGCCAGCTCTTCTTCGAATGGCATAGATGGAATGTGGTTCAGATTAAAACTTAGGTGACCTCAAATCTTATGTGGGTCATTCCCCAAAATATAAATTATTTGTAGTGCCTATAAGAAACCTTGCAAATCCTAAAATCCCCATACAATTAGGGAGTATATGGTCTATGGCAGTGGTCGGCAAACTCATTAGTTAACAGAGCCAAATATCAACAGTACTTCTTCAAAATAGACTCGCCCAGGCCGAAAACCGACTTCTGCGCATGGGCCACGAAGTTTCAATCGCATCACACTGTACGCGCACCCGCACGTGGTATTTTGTGGAAGAGACACACTCAAGGGGCCAAAGAGCCGCATGTGGCTCACAAGCCGCAGTTTGCTGACCATGGGTCTATGGGATTCTGGGTGTTAAAAAGTCTGTTGTGTAAATTGCAAATGAACTGTACCTGACCCTATCAAAACGAACAAAAACACATGGACATAAGGAGCACCCAAGGATCATTCAATGGAAAAGTATAGTAATCATTGCTGACTCTCAAGCTTTGGAATAAATCAACATAAGGGTTTTCAGCTAGTTATACTGGGAGGGAAAAACTGATTTTGATGGCTTGAGTCTTCTATTCCTTTGTCAAACACACCAATTTGTCTCACTATTTCTAAAATGGTGGTATTGGACAGTAAAAAAAAATACATTTAAAGTGATAGGGATAGCAAATTCATAGTTTGTACTTAAATATAAATGCAGCAGATCTTGTGCATTTTAAAAATAATCTGGGATTTAGCCTGCTAGTACAGAAATTAATTAAGTAAGGATGAAAGAGAAAGAAAGGGGAATGGAAGTTGCTAGCTCACTCAGCAGCAAAGGGAAGGTGAAAGTCTCATTGCTGGTAACTTACTGGGCAGGAACTGGACCCCGTGGGTATAGACATGAATTGTTGTTAAACCAAACTCCATGTATCTAAGCTAATCACCAGGTCCCAAGAGCACTGGCTTTGTTCCAAAGAAATACTTATTAAAGACACTAGTGGAGCTTCTCAAAGCTGATTGTACTGTAGTTAGGTCAGCAATGGGAAAATTACAGAAGCAGGATTCTAACAAACTATGGAAAGATATTGATTAAGAGATTTGGTTCTTCAAGAGACTATTTTTGTAAGCATTTATGTTTCCAAATTAATATCCTTTCATCATTTACTATCCAGTGACTTATGTTACTAAACTGACCAAAGCCTCAAAGGGTTCATTCTCACTCTTGACAATTCCCTTTGTTACTGTTAACAGTCACTGTGACTGAACTCTAAAATTGTTAGGGTCACTGCTCATAAAGGAGAGACTCATCTTGCTGGTCTGGTCCTCCTTCCCTTCAATCTGATGCATATGAGTGAACTGATGATAAACATAATGGAAGTGGAGCAGGCTCTTAATTAATGGATGAGGATGAGGATCCATAAATGACATCACAATTGAGGTACGAAGGAGGCATAACCCTAATGCTTGCTATAAACACATCTTATACTTTTGTAATAAAATTCACTATTATGCAAAGATCCTCTGAAAATGGAAGCAAAAGCTGCAACAATAAGATTATCAACTCATAAATCCTACAAAAAGATTTTTGTAAAAATAATCCTACAAAAGTGCAAAACAAAAACCACACCATCCGCCATTGAAATTACATCATCCAACGACAAAGAAAATACAATGGTACCACTCTTACAACTCACATAGTAAAATAACTTGACCAGATCTCAATATCATAAAATAATAACCATTAGCTAACACAGAATTCAGATTTATGAAAGAAATAAAAGCTTTAAATCTGTTCAATTAACCAGTAGTCTGAAGAGAACAAATGATTTTTGACAATGTTATCTATACTGTTCTGAAAACTAATTTTTGTGTTTTCATGAAATTAATATTACCAGTATTTACCTACAGTGATCTTGCAATATTCCCATCAATCAGCGAGAAGAAGAAAGATATATATACAAACCTACATATGGTCCACCGGGTTTAATAACTTTTGTGCTTCGGTTGCGGGATTCCTCCTCTGCCTGGGTCATTCTTTCTCGTGTCATCTGATACGAGTCGTTTGTTGCACACACTGTAATTTTATCTTGTATAAATCCCAGGCAATTGAGCTGGGAGGCTCCAGAGCTGTCAAGTAAGGCGATGGCTTTGTTAGACATGCCCCTCATTTTGTACAATAAAGTACAAGAAAGAATTGTACAATCCTAAAATCAGCAGCCCGAATAAGAACTGAAATCCTAAAATAACTAATATTAGTAATGTTTAATTGTAAAGACTATTTAAAATATTTGAGTTTCTCTTCTTCATTTCATGTCACTTTTTCCACATTATTGTGAATAGAGTGGATGAAGTGAGCTCTCAGAGATCAAATCCATGAAATTTTTTAGAAAAATCAGCATTTGGAGTGAATACCAGAATCCTGATGAGTACTATAGTTCTTTCATTTAGCAGTCAACTATTTTTAAGAATTAGCTACCACTGATATGAGAAACGTTAAAAGTTCACTTATAGTGGGACCATAATATACATGGTTGATAGAAAGACTAGATAAAACAAATACACCACAATTCTTTTGATTTTTAATAAGATGTTAATTTTAAAGCTAAAATACTGCCACATTAAAACTTACTTTATTATTATTAGCCCAAAGATTTTAAACATTTGTAGAATTTATATTTAACACTTTGTTAAATCTCTACATAAGCTGACCTATTTATATAGTAAATATTGAAGAAAATACTGGATAGATTTTGTCAGAAATAATTACCATGGCCTTAAAACAGATTGGACTATAAAAGTAATGAAAATGCCATTGCAGCTCTGATACTCGCTTTTGTTATAATGCTAAAAAATAAGAGTTAATAAAAATTTATTAAATTGCTAATTGTACAAATACTTTCAAAAAATCGGTTCATTCGTCTCATAAATATTTATGGAGCAGGGACTGCATGCCAGCAATGTGTGAGTACACAGGCTATGACAAGGACTGAGACAGATCTGGTCCCTCTTCCAAGGAGCTCTCTGCCTAATGGGTGACAAGGATGAGCAAACTGGAAATGATGACATGATGTGATAAATGCCAGGGGGAGAGAACTCCCAGGAAGTACTGCATCTGGACGTGTGGGAGAGGGGAGAGGCAAAGGCTTCCTGGAAGAAGTGATGCTCAAGTGACCTAGAGGGATGACTAGACAAAGGGGAAGAAGGACAGCAATGTTCCAGAAGGATGATCAACCCGTGCAGACCCAGGGGGAGCAAGGAAGAGTTTTTCAGTTAAGCCAGAGGGAGTTATAAAGGACAATTAGAGATGAGGCTGAAGAGGGCCTGAGAAGTACAATACACAGGGCTTTGAGGCCCTGGTATGGATTTTGGACTTTATCCCAAGAATAAAAGAAGCTGAAAATATCTCCTTTGTATTGCAGAAAGATCAATTTGGATAAAGAACAGATTGGGAGGAAGAAGGTAAGAGAGCAGTTAGGAGGCTACTGAAGAACTACAGGCAAGAAGTGATGACTTGAACCGGTGTAGGGTGGTGTGGATGCAAAATAGTAAACAAATTCCAGAGATAGCAAGGAGGCAGAATTGATAGGATTTGGTCAGTCATTGGCCATAAAGGGAGAGAGTGGGGAATAGAAGTTAAAAGATTGTGCCCAGGTTACTAAATGTGTGGAGCTGACACTTATTGAGACACTGGAGTGGGGTTGGGAGAGAGAAAATAAGTTTTGTGTTGGACATGGTGACTGAAGAAATTAGGAGACATCTCAAGAGGGAACCAACTGTGAAGAATACTAATATTTAGAATAAGCAATAAGAAGATGAAAAGACCATACGAGACTGAAAAGGTAAGCCAGAAAGGTAAGCCAAGGAAACCAGAAAAGCAGTGTGTCATGGAAGCCACTGATACAGAATGCTTCAAGAATCAAAGTGGTCAACAGTGTGAAATGTTGGCAACAAATCTAGAGTAATAAGAAACTAATAAGCACTCACTGGATTCAGGGCAAGGAGGTCAAGGACTCCCATTGGGGAGCAGTTTCAATGGAATAATGGGGACTAAAGCCAGGCTTTGGCTCCAGAAGTGACTGCAAATGAGGTTATTTACCATTATTTTCTTTTTAAATCAGACTCACCTGAGCATTATGAATGCTGAGAAACCTATAAAGGAGGGGAATGAGAGAGGGAGGGAGAGATTTAAGCCTCAGGGGAATCAGGATGGAGAAGAAAAAGAGGAATAGAAGACTGCAGTAGAGTACAGAAAAGACCACAGGTGGCAGAAAGTTTGAATTCCAAGATCTCCCACTACTTACTATGTAATTTACATAGTGAGAATAAGCTGAATGTGTTGCCAATCACAATGAAGTTTTAGTTTGCACAATTCAAGATTAAGTTAGAACTCTTTCAGCGATGTCTTATTTTATATCTCTGCCTACTGTGCTCACTTGAAATACAACTTTCTCAACTTGCACAATTGAAGATCAAGAAACAGATCTTTACATGAAAACTAAACCCTGCAAGCAAGAAGGTACTCTCTAGAATTCCCATTCATCCCTTTTCAACTGAGGTACCTTAAAAGTTCAAATACACTGACATCCTATCCTATATAATAAAAGCCTAATATGCTAAGTGTCTGGTTGTCCGCTCGTCCGTTCAACCAATCAAAGCGTAATGTGCTAATGATATGCTAAGGCCGCTCAACCGCTTGCTATGACATGCACTGACCACCAGGAGGCAGATGCTCCGACTGGTAGGTTAGCTTGCTGCTGGGGTCTGCCTGATTGGGACTGAGTGAGATGGACTGGACACCCTGGAGCCCTCCCGCGGTCCCTCCCTGGCTGGCCAACCTCCCGCATCCCTCCCCGGTCCCGATTGTGCACCGGTGGGGTCCCTCGGCCTGGTCTGTGCCCTCTCAAAATCCAGGACCCCTTGGGGGATGTTTCAGACTGATCCCGCAGGTCAGACCAGGGGACCCCACTGGTGTACAAATTCGTGCACCAGGCCTCTAGTATGTATATAAACATCCTATGGTCTTTCTCTATCCTAGCTCACTGTTTCCCATACTTGAGTGCCCCAAACTATGTATTTTCACTAGGTCTGTGAATGAGAAAATTTAAGGAATTTTTGAAAAGTAAATTTGACTTGGGATTTCCTCCATTTTATATAGGAGAAAGTGTGGTTTAAGGAGATTTATAAAGAAAGATAAGAAAGGAGACTAGTTAATATGTAGTTTTTGACCATCTATTTATTAAGCATTTAATTTGAGCTCCACCAGCATTGTAAGACTAGAAAAAGGGCATAAGAAAGCCCCTGCCTTTGAGGAGCTTGCACAATTGCATGAAAGACAGGATCCATGGGAAAAATAAAAATGAAATCAAACAGAAAGGTGGATACAGATTAAAAAGGCTTGCCAGGTTGAGAACTGAAAGTTTGAGTACTTTTGGTTTTTTAGTGGCAAATTTCAATTTATACCATACAACACCATTTTATAAAGCACTTTGAATCATACTTTTATACTTGGATCACACTTTTTATACAGCACACTTGGATCATATTATTGCATTTGCTCCAATTTTTTCACAATAATTATTTCTTTTCTCTTGCTGCATTATGTATAGTTTTAAGTGACCTTAAATCAGTGGTTCTCAACCTTCTGGCCCTTTAAATACAGTTCCTCATGTTGTGACCCAACCATAAAATTATTTTTGTTGCTCTTTCATAACTGTAATGTTGCTACTGTTATGAATCGTAATGTAAATATCTGATGTGCAGGATGGTCTTAGGCGACCCCTGTGAAAGGGTCGTTTGACCCCCAAGGGGTCGCGACTCACAGGTTGAGAACCACTGCCTTAAATCCTTCTTCAAGCAAGCAAAGTAGAAATAAGCACAGAGGATATTTGTGATGTAAGGGAGAAACCATATCACCTATGATGATCTGACTGGTATTGAAGAGGGAATTAAGTTCTTTAACACGTTAAGCACCATGTCAGTCACTGGTGACTGACACTATACTTTCCATCTGGACCGGTCAGTCACTGGTGCCGCCAGCATATCGGTGAAATTGGACATTGTGGGCTAAACGGAAAGGAAGACAAAACAGGCTTGGTGCTTAACGTGTTAATAAAATTCCTAAGGGGACATTGTTCAATTTGATGTCAAAATGATATCACTATCCTATCCTATATAATAAAAGGCTAATATGCAAATAGACCGAACAGCAGAACAACCAACCAGTTGCTATGATGTGTGCTGACCACCAGGAGGCGCGCCTGGAACATGGCGGACGTTGGCAGCAGGTGGCAGAGCACAAAACATGTTGGGCATCGGCTGCAGCGGGATGGTGGAGCAGGTGAGTGGGGGCGCCAGACCAAGGCGGGGCACTGGTTGTTGTCATCGGGGAGAGCCTCTGGTGGTTATTGAAAATTCTTTGCTCCTGTGTGCCACGGTCAAGCCTGGTGCTCGCACCTACTGCCAGTGCCGGCCCCACTCACACCCGCTGCCAGCACCTGGCGATGGCCCCACTCACACCTGCAGCTGGTGCCAGAGCTGCTGCTCATACCTGCTGCCGGCGCCCAGTGCTGGCCCCAATCGCTCGGCACCGTCAGCGGTGCTAGCGGTGGCTGCCAGCCCCAACCACCCCCGAGGGCTTCTTCACCTCCCCCTGCTCCTGAGGGGCAATCGGGACAGCAGCCATCGCTTGCACATGCTGATGGTACCAGCCCCGCTTGCACCCACTGCTGGCGCTGGCACCAATTGCTCCGCTTCATCAGCAGGTGTGAGTGGGGCCAGTGCCATCAGTGCGTGGGAGTGGCGGCAGTGGGAGTGGGACTACAGGCAGACAGGGACCGGGGCCACGGCGGGAGGGGCTGGGTGAGGGCGCAGAGGATGGGTTGAGACCCACCCCTGTGCCCACCACAGCCTCTTGGCCCACAGTTCCTTTCAAGGTGAACGAATTCGTGCACTGGGCCCCTGGTAGTATAATAATTCTCTAAAGACAAGAATTCCAGGTGAATGCACCACAATTAGAAATCGGTATATAGTGTGGTATGCCATGAACACTGGACTAAAATTAAGAGAACTCAGTTCTCATTCAGCCTAGTCACTAACTAAACAATTATGTAACTGTGGGTAAATCACCTGTAAAAAGATGGGGTTGAACAATTACCAAGGACCCTTATACTTGGTGATTCTAGAATTGATTGTAATACTGTCCCATAGAACTTTCTGCAATGGTGAAAATGATTAATATCTGTGCTGTCCACTCTGATAGCAACCAGACACCTGGCTATTGAGCCTGTAATGTGTGGTTAGTCTGAGTGAAGAAGTAAAAGTTTTAAATTTTATTTCACTTTTATCAATTGAGATGTAAATAGCCACATGTAGTCATTAGCTATCCCAGTGAATAGTGCAGAAAGGTCTATAAAATTTATAACATGCAATTTATACCAAAAATATAAGTTTGGAGGTGGGCAATTTTTAGAAAGCAAAATTAACATATACTCAGGGGAAAAGGCAGATTAAAAGGTAGTTACCTTAAATGAGAGGAGAAATTTAGAACTCTTTCAGTGATGCGTCTTATTTTATATCTCTGCCTACTGTGCTCACTTGAAACACACCTTTCCCTTCTCTTTCTCTCATGCACAGCAAGCATTAACACAGTTTCAAGTGCAGCGCAGACAAGATAGGGATGGATGGCCCAGGGCACTTTGAGCCAATATCAGTGACTCCTGGGAGGTTAAGGGCTCTAAGGCCTTGTCTTTATCCACAGGCGGAACAACTCCCCCTACTCAAGGGGCCCATTCTTTAATCAGAAACAACCAGAGCAAAGAAGAGTGAAACAAGTAGCTTATTGTTTACAGAGAATCTAAGTAGATAAGAGTTCCATGGTACCCTGGGATATGGGTATGTAGTCTTGTATTCTTTCTTAACAAAAAAAAAAAAAAAAAAAAAAAAAAATGCTATGCTGGGCTTAATTTCTTATTTTCATTCTGCTGCAGAATAAAGATTTTAAAAAATCTACTTTAAAATATGGCTTGCATAGGGAAGAAGAAAAAGAATATGCAAGGTATATAGGATTTTTTCCTCCTTTACCCTTAAATACTAGTCTTGAGTGTACTATAAAAGGCATGCTTATTTAAATGCAGTGAATATAAACTTTTTTTAAATCCCCAAACTTGTCTTTAATAAAACAAGCAAATAAACCATGTTTTATAGGTTGAAAAAAATCTGTACTTTAAAAATCCCTCAAGAGTAAGAATGTTAAAATTTTTGTGATCATTGCCCACAGTGACAAATATAATTACTAGCACAGAGTAGGTGCTCAATATTTCTCAAATACTGTAAATAAATGAGCTTTGCCATTCAATTCAATAAATATTTATAAATGACTACTATGTATTTTATTGTTTAATTTTTTAAAAACCCTCAGAGAAAAATGATTTTCCCTTTAGCATACCCTGAAATGTACTTACCTGGAGAATCTCTGCTGAATGCAGTCAAAGCTGCCTTGAGGGTTGTCTTTACCCACATTTGACAAATAGAAGTTAAATGTATGCACTTCATTGATGGGATCATTTCTGGGAATTTTGACAAGCTAAAAGGAGGAAAAAGAGAAAAACACCTCAAATTATAAATTTTCTATAAAATGATCTGATGGCTGACTGTCTTTCAAGTAACGTTCACTTTATGCCCGAGCCCTATTTTGCATTTAAGTTACCCAATCATCTAAGAAATCTGGCAAGTATATCTATAACTCACCATATTCTCATGTCCACTTTTTACCCTAAAGTGCCAGTAATCACTTCTACTCAGCAATTAGTTTATGAGAGGAACCATCTTCATTGCAAATAAGCAAATAATTACAATTCACACGAAAGAGTTACTAGAGAATTGGCCAGAAAATTCGTCTTCTTTTGAGCTACACAGGTTCTGTTTGGCTGATATGACCTTTTGCTGAATAGCTTCTAGATATTTAAATGCTCTCTATGATAGCTGTGGCCTATGCAGCTTATTTGATTGAGTGTCATCCCATGCATTGAAAGGTTGCTGGTCCGATTACTGGCCAGGCCACATGCCCAGGTTGCAGGTTGGGATGCAAACAATAGATGTTCCTCTCACATTGATGTTTCTCCCTCTCTTCCCTTCCTCTCCTTCTAAAATCAGTTTTAAAGAACACATTTAAATGCTTTCTAAGATAAAGTCCATGTCCCAATCTTTTGCTCTTTTATTATATATACATATTTAATTTAAATCTTCCTACTTTGAGTAATATTTTTGAATAATATCTAGCAGCATAAGGTGAATGCCATAATTACATTTACAGCAAAATGAACCCCTCATTCATCCTTATGCTTATAGAACTGGGTCAGCAGCCTACTGAGATGGTTTTGCAAGGCACAGTGAGGCTGAGCCCCAGGCAACACTGTGAAACAGAGTATGTTTTCCATGCTCTTGCTCAAAGTCTGGTTTCTCTGCTAGATGAGGGAAGGGATAGGACTGCTCTAGACAACTGAGCCCCTGCACCAGGATCATATTCCTGGCACATGGTAAAAGCTTCATAAACATCTGTGAACAAATGAACTGGAACATTCTCACTGTCTTTCAGCTGTTCCACTCTTTCCAGCTCCTGAAACCTTTCTTCCCTTGGGTCTGCAGGGGCCACCATGGGGACAATTAAAAAAAGGATTTGTTGGCACAAATGTAAAATATGACATCCTGCTGTCCAGCCCCCATATACACATAGTCTTAGTAATTTAGTACAAAACCGGGAGGGGAAAGTGCTGTATAATTCTCATTCTTCTCCCCCCATCTGTCCTTTCCATGATTGGAAGATTAAGACTCAGAGTTAACTGGCTGTCGGGGGTGTGTGGATGCACACACATACACATACACACACTCATTAATGTGCTAATAAATATAAGTATGTATGACCTCTACATCAGTGGTTTTTAGAGCTGCAGCAATGCAGATGGTACAAACTGACCTAATCTCAGGCGCTTCCTGGAAAAGATCTGAATAAGATGTCATCAAGTGATCTTTATATCTTTAAAATTTCAAAAGCTTAAATTACATGGTCTATAGATGTAGTGTATCTAATTTCCTAAAGATGGTACAAATTAGATACAAATTTTATTTGTGTCAATATCTAAATATACTCTTACAAATAAAATGGATATACAAAGAAGTACTAATGTTTATAGCTGGTAAGTCTGCATAACAGTTTGGTCCCATGGGCAGTAAAGCAGGAGACTGACTTAGTGGAAAGAGCAGGTTGTACATGACAATTTAGGCAGGCAGGGGTAGGGTAGGGTAGAGGGAATGGAGACTTCAGAACTAAAACAAGAGGGAACCAGAGCCTGTTGGTCCACTCTGTGGAACTGTTAAGGCCATAGCTAAGGTGGGATTTGAAAGCTTGTCTAATCAAGGGCAATAAATGAGACATTTCAGAGACTAGACGTGAGGAAACTTGCGAATACTCATCACTCATCTCTCTAACATATAGGAGCCTATTCCACAATGAAATAGCAGTCAGTCCTTTCTTCCAGAATGGTCACAAAGCATTTCTTATCAACTGGCCTTTGAATTTACGGAATATGAAAATGAAATTACTGTTATTAGTGGGCCTAGGGTCAACTTCTAGGGACTGGGCTAGCCACCGCGGGAAAATAAATTCTGAAGTTTGATTTAGAAACCATCTTGGAAGAGTATCCCTTTAGCGATAGGAACTTCTCAATTTTAATTATAGTATTTTAAGCTTTTTGTATAGCTAAGTGGGTATAACTTTATATTTAGGTATTCTAAATATGGTCAGCTTGAAATTTTTAGCTAAATGCCTTAAGAATGAAATATTTTAAAAGTATCTAAGACTATGATTCCAAACAGCTTCTTATTCAAGATGAAGAATATAAAAATATACCACCATGTTCTGGGTACCTGAAAAAGTAGATTTTAAATTTCATTCCAAAAATGAAAGATTGAAAATCAAAGATTTAGGACCACATTCCACAACCCTCCTCCCAAACTCCAGTCTACCTTTGATAAAAAGCTCTGAAGAAAAAGTTTCAGGAAACTTTCAGACATTTATAATTAACATAAACACTGTATTCCGAGATTTGTAAGTCAAGGCTTCTAATTATTCCGAGATACAAGCTCAGGCATGTGGCAATGGAATACTGTCTGAAAGGTCATTTCAACATCAAGTCACAGATCTCCTATTTACATAAGGATGTAGGGCAGAAATGCAATGTGCACACTGCTGCAAATTTCTCACATGGGTGTGCTAACATCTGCTTAAAAGCCATTGGTACCTTACTGTAGGGGTTACTTACCCTTAAGTCAAATACTTTCTACTCAATATTAGATTGAGGTAACACACTAGATTAAAAATAAGACCATCAGGTTTTTCTTAAACATTTATTTAAAATAAATGCTTTACTCTTTTGTGGGTATTACAAATGATTTAAACTTACAGAAGCTTTTCTTGGACAGTAACTCTGAGTTTTAATTTCGAGCCTTTCCTGCTAAGGTGACTATAAACACACAATGAAATGCTTGTGACCTAGCAGTACCACAGCTTGATATGATAATGCTTGGTCTTTAAAGCAGACCCATAGTGCTGACAGGCCTTAGAAATCATCTAGCTGAATTTCTTCATTTCATAGAAAAGGAACAGAGAGAGGTTCAGTGACTTGCTCAAGGGTTATGACTCTATTTAAAATTGCAACTCCTTACTCCCGACCTCCTAACCCTGCCCCCATGTTTGTCTAGGGCACTTAGTACTGGCACTAAATCACAAAGTATGTTTATTCTCTTTTTCCCCTGACTATAATAGAATCCTTGGAAAGATGGAGACTTTTGTCTGGTTTGTTCCCTGTATATATCACCAGCATCTTGAACAATGTGTGGCACAAAGCAGTCACTCCATACATGTTTGTTGAATGAATGAAAATGTTGATTAATGCCTGAGCTAGTTCTAGAACAACTAATGTGTCTGCTCTCTTTCCTCCAATATTTCCAAAGCATGTTGAAAAGTTTCCTTATATGAAAAAGGGGTTCTGTCTTCAAATAAATTTGGGAAATGCCTGGTTAAACTAAACAACTTTCTTTGCTATAAGTCCTTTCAAATTAGTCGTTTCCCAATTTGTATGACCTCAGAACACATCTCTTCTGATATCTCAGGAGGCCAGCTTGGCTCATAGTATTATTTGACTACGATATCTACTATTTTGCTACATATACACTATATATCTTACTTTGGGTATGGATAAAGATTGCTACAAACATCTAAACTTTAGAATTCCCTGTTGTTCTCAAATCCTTTCCACACTTTTAATGATTCTGTCAGTTTAGCTAGAGGAGTGCATTTGCATGTACTGTTCAGGTGTCAGAGTTTAGGGGCAACATAAAACATCTAGAATCAGAACAGAAAATAGAAACCTCAACCTGAAAGCCACAAGTCCTATTTTTCAAACTAGAGCTGTCGTTATGACTTAAGGCCTAACATTATGGGTTTAGGAAGGAAAACAAAAAGGCCTCTCAGATCAGCACAGATGTGGAAACCAAAGGGGTAAGTTTGGGAGAGTAGGAAAGGCAGGGTATCTTTCACTGGCAATAAAAAATATGAAGTAGCATTACAGAAACCAATAAGAAATAAATATTCCCACTGACAGAGAATGGCAGGGGTAGATAGGGTCCCATACATGCTAGAAATACCTGAAATTTCCACATGACACTTTACCGAGACAACTAGTGCAAAATGCTAAATTTCCTACCACAAAAAGAAAATACTGGCAGTTATTAAAAAATTTAGGCCATGTAGCAATGAGCATGTATAATTCAGGAAAAAGCAAGTCCACTTATTTCCTTGTATTCTTTGTCTTTAGCAAGATGTATATTAAAGAAAAAAGTAAAGTACAATATCTTTCCCTATTATTCACATAACTTCTTTAGATCCAGTTATTAAAATTTCTTACAAAGTTCTTGATGAAAGGATAGAATAAGCTGATACTGAGCTTTCTTGGTTATGTTACTTCTATAGGATATATGGTTTATTAGAAAAATCATTTCTTGAGAATTACATTTTCATCCCTAATATATTCTTTCAAATTCATGACCATTTTGGAGAAACCATTGATGGCAATATTTCAAAACTAATTTTAATTGGTTATGAATAAGCAATAACATTTATAGAAATAAAGTGCTAATTTTTAAAAGTCAAATACACCCAACTTACTATATAATTAAAACTAAAAACAAAAAACACACAACTGTCCTGAGTAATTTTTGGCTCTGTTAATATGAAATCAGACTTCTAAATGTGTCTAATAAGATGACACTGATTGATGGATTTGTTCACTTAATTCATTTATTCCACAAATATTAACTGAGTGCCCACTGTGTCAGGCACTATTTTAGTTTCTGTGATACATTAATAAATAAAACTGACAAAGATCCCTGCATTGAGGTACATATGTATAGAAATCCAGGAGTGAGATGATGGTGACTTGGACCAGGAAATGGGGAGAAGTAGATGGATTTGGGATACAATCTGCAAGATTCCTAGACATACTGAATGTGAGGAATGAAAAAAAGAGA